GAATTGAAACACAATCAGGAAAGTATATACACATGCAAATAAATAAAATTCATTATCATCAAAGCTTCAAATACGTGCCTTCTCTAGAAGCCATTTTCACAAGGATCTGGTCATTTTCACTCATCACCCGTTCGCATAAAAAATATGCCATCAATACTGAATGTATCTCCGTCTAAAATGTTTCTGAAACTAAATGGTAATTTAGCAGGAGCCTCAAATTTACCAACAGTGTGTTTCTATGGCCAGCTTTCGAACTTCAATTAAACTATGTCTTGTAACTTTAATTTCTATCTGGTTGTATTTAATATTAATTCCTTTCTGATAACAATTCTAATTCTGGTTGTGCACTTTTTCCTTTTATGTAATTCATATCTAGCTTTTTCCTAACATTATGACCTAAAATTCACACTACTCGTATTTATACACACGCCTCTGGTGCAAACAAAAACAAAAAAAACGTGTGAATTCGCGAATAATATTTAGTTTATACGGATTTTTTTAACCACAACTCAAACTGAAGGTTCGTGTGGAATTGTTGCATCTGGAGGAAATATGTATACATAAATATGTAGACATAATGAATTGTATATCACAGAATCTCGCGTTATGAAATTACATCTATATTTTCGTTCGAAGTTTGCGGTACGGTATACATTGGAAAAATTTCCATTTTTATAGCTTGGAAGAATATTGCAAGGTTTTGTTTCTGTTCCGACACGTGTTTGATAGATGAAAATTACATGTGTAACTCGCGAAAGGTGGGAAATTGAAATTCGCTTATTAAACCGTAGGAAACTGTCGGATTTCAAAGGGGCTTTTATAATGAACTTTAGTTTTACTTAAATCCGCAAAATAAATTGAACATGAACAAACTCTTGTTGTATTATCTAGGTCCCACAAAGAAAGACGTTTTCTAATAACATCGAAGGAAATCTCCGTATTATTAAAATAGTTGAATCCGAAAGTTTTAATAAAATCGATAGACTTTCAAGTAAATTGCTTAATATTCATCCGAGGAACTTCTGTAAAATCCGCAAGTTTGCATCTGAAATTAGAAAACGTTTCCTTAAATATTACTAACTTTGAGAATCGAATATTCGTTTGTAATACCTGCAGGAGGAAACTTCTTATTTAACCGCTTATGACTAAGACATTTGCGGTAGTCAGGTTTTCGTTAAGTTTTAAAGACAAGTTTACTTTGGCAATTTCTACTGAAATTAAATAGTGGGAGGTTTTACGACATTTGCTATTCAATTTGCATTTTGGATTACTGTTAATTTGCACAATGATTATTTTTAATCGTTTTACATGAATCTGTTTCACCTCAAAGTGTCATTTTAATATATTTAATATAAAAGGAATATTAAAAAATAATTCACTTATGTGCGACACACTTGATACCATAGTCGGCGACACATAAAAGTATACCAGTTCTAAAGGTGATTTTGCCTGATTTAGGTAAATCAGGCTTGGTGAAATGCGTCAAATATACGAATCACAAAATTGTTTTAAAACCGGGTAATAAATAACAAAACCAAACAATTTAATTTCGAAACTAAATCGAATTAGAAACAATTCATAATCGTATTTGACAACGATATTTGAAAAAATATATAATAATAAGATATATTAAAAACTCTATTTTGCTGCTGCCCCCTTAGCCTTTAAAACTAAATTCAGGCTTGTGGGCATGGAACCAATTAAGGGGTGCTAGTGTATTCTGGTCTTAGTTGATCCCAGGTCTCTTCAATTTTTTCCCATAATTCATGGCGGTTAAATGTTTGTCTTTGTATTTTTTTAGATATGCATGCATACACATTATCTATTGGATTTAGAGCAGGGCTACTCGAGCACCAGCGTAAACAGTTAATTCAATGTTTAAATAATCAATTTTGCACTGATCTGGATTTATGAACAGGCCAGTTGTCTTCTAGGAAAATAACATTTTTGTTCCTTCCAAAAAGTAGGTTTGCTAATTGAAGGAAAACGTTTTCTAATATAACTTTGTAAGATTCGCTGTTCAACCTGCCGTCAATATTCCAACAAACTCTTGGTCCACGGCTACTTATCCAACCGACAGGTTGACAGAGAACCTTCCACTGTTCTGATGTATTCCTGTATATGTTTCGTTAGGGTAATTCCGGGAGAGATGAACCACCGCCTGAGATGGGCCAGTCGGGTATTTTCGACTGTACATGGTATATGAAGAATATTTCAACGCTACCCCGTCAACAAACGACTACCAGTTGCACTCCGATAGTAGCTTTGTGTAGTTAATTTTCGGGAGTGGAGTTATTTGTTTCTGCATTTACAAATGGTAGACATTTTTTAACGGTATTTTGAAGATGCGATTCTAACTAAACGAAAGTTTTAAAATGCTATTTGGGGTTAAAAATGCATTGCATGGTATTCATTCAGGACAACGTAAATGATGTAAAAGCCGATTAATAAATAGAATTTTTGTTTTTGGGTGGTCCGTCCATCCCTGAAATTTGGGATAGATGGACCAGAGTAAATCGGGACAGTTGAACCGGTTTTTAGTTTTTTGCTTTATACAATGCCTACAAAATACCAACGGAAGTTGAGCTCACAAAGAGCTAGATGGACCGAAGAAGACCCCAAAAATGTTGTAAAGACTATAAATACAAAAACAATGGGGGTCAAAGCCGCAGCCAGACACTTTAATATTCCCAAAGCTACTCTAATTACAAGAAAGCCGTGCGGAAAACTAAACAACTGGCTCATTGAGTTCTTCGTCTACTTTAGGAGAAGAAAATGAAGCGACGACAGTAGCACATGTAAAAAAGCTGCAAAAATTTAGTTTTGCCCCAACACGGAATGATATGCGACATATGACGTTTGCTGTTGCTAAACAGTTAACGTTGAAGCATCGTT